CACAAACCTCCCTTTACCTTAAAGCAAGATAGAATATCCAGAATACGCCAAGTGGACAAGGCGTTCTCCATAAACTTGACCACCAAGGCGGACTGGAAAAATAAAAATCTTCAGATCCAACCGGGCATTCATGCATGGTTTACTGATGGATCTGGAGCAAACGGCTGCTATGGAGCAGGCATCTACTGTCCAGGATCAAATCACAGAGAGTTTTTCTCTCTGGGTAAATTGGCCACGGTCTTTCAAGCGAAAGTCCTGGCCATTCTGGAATGTACAAGACTCCTACTCTCAAGAGAGACAAAAACTAGGAGGATCAATATCTATACGGATAGCAAAGCAGCCATAGGAGCTCTTGCCAAGACCACCACTGAATCTTTAGTGGTTTGGGACTGTATGCAAGCTCTAAACAGATTGGGCAAGCAAAACAACATCACGCTTGTCTGGGTACCTGGCCACCAAGGTATCCAAGGAAATGAAGTGGCTGATAGTCTGGCAAAACTGGGAACCTTGGAGGAACCAGTCTGCCAGAAAGTTGGAGTTCCCATTGCGACAGAGAAAAACCATATCAAGGACTGGCTGAAAAGGGAGCACAGGATCTCTTGGGAGATACTGAAGAGCTGCCGCCAAGCTAAGGCCCTGATGACTCAGCCATTGCCAGGTAAGACCAAAGAACTACTGACAATGAGTAAGTACAGACAAAGACTGTGCATAGGTCTCCTCACAGGGCATTGGGCCTTCAAGGCACATTTATTCAACTTAGGCCTTGTTGAGGAGAGTAGTTGTAGATTTTGTAGTGAGGAGGGGGAGGACAGCGTGCACATATTGTGTCGCTGCCCGTCTCTGGCACTCAAAAGATTCAGATTTTTGGGCTCCATGTTTGTGGAGCCCGAGGACCTGAAAATAATTAAAATCGGCCAACTGTGTAGCCTGGCAGCAAATGCCGGGTTTTAGCAGCTTGGTCGATTAACAACTAGCGGGAGTCGCAGAAGATCTTAGAGATCTAGGTGACAATAGGGTCTCACAAGCCCCCCGCTCTTCGTCATCTATCTATCTATCTACTTGCCACACTAGGAAGGAGGGCAAAATCGACCACTTTTGAACATCCTTCTTTCCATCTAGCTGAGGCGATGTACAGCCGTAATTCCTTACCGCCTTGGCGCTCGGACGGCTTGCACTATCAGTTTCAGCCGAAACGTGCAATTGTATGGCGAGAAAGGATCGGCGCGACTACCACGTCACAATATGTGTATATATATACAGGGTAAAAAAGTACCGGAACACCTGACTATCTCAGAAAATATAACTTCTAGAGAAAAGTATTTCAGACAAAAGTAGTATGTTTCAGACAATAGTAGTTTAAAAAGATCTATTTACTAATTGTATTATTGTGACCTTGGATTGCGCCTCTAAGATCAGATCAATGTTACATCGATTTTTTAAAATGAA